TCCCAGGATGAGGTTTGTCCTGTGCCCTCAGAATTGGCGCTGCATCAAACCCACTCAGGCATGGAAGGAAGAGATCCCTTCAGCAGCCCCAAATGCTCAACAGTCCTGGGGACAGGGGACAAGAGTCCATCATCCTGGAGAGCAGCACCTGAGCTGCTGGCCCCATAGACGCTTGGGGCAGGTTTTGAAACTCTGTTCTCCTGAGCACCGCTGTTTGTTCCCCTGCTAAAAGCCTATTTGTGAGACCTTTCTTTGTGGTGAGGGGAGAGTTTCCCCTTCTGTGAGCAGATTTACTGACATTTTCTTCAGAGCCAGCTGAAAGCTGTGAATTAAAGGGAGGAAGTCCTGCACCTGCTGAAGGGCTTGCTGACAACTTGGTAAGAGTGTATTTGGCCCTCACACACCAAGCTGAGTATGGCCAAACTGATGTTTGGAGCTATATGTAAACAAAATGCTACATCTTTTTGAAAGGATCAAGACCTTTACAGATATAATTTCATATGTCATGGAGTGCATAAATTTGCCTGAATTTCTTAAAACCTGCTTCCAAAAACTGCAATGCAAAGTCTTTTATTGTGCTCAAGTTTTTTGATTTGTACCCTGGTTCTACCTAGAGGAGAAACTCCTTTTTACCTGTGATGTTGGTAAGAGGAACAGAGTTCACTTTTCTTTTCTTTTCTTTTTTCTTTTCTTTTCTCTTTTCTTTTCTTTTCTTTTCTTTTCTTTTCTTTTCTTTTCTTTTCTTTTCTTTTCTTTTCTTTTCTTTTCTTTTCTTTTCTTTTCTTTTCTTTTCTTTTCTTTTCTTTTCTTTTCTTTTCTTTTCTTTTCTTTTCTTTTCTTTTCTTTTCTTTTCTTTTCTTTTCTTTTCTTTTCTTTTCTTTTCTTTTCTTTTCTTTTCTTTTCTCTTTTCCCACAGCTGCAGATAGTGTATGTACATATTTTAAGCATAACACACAAGGTGAATGTGTCTCCAGCTTGCCTAGTTTTTTACTCAGAGTTGTTTATAATGTACATCCCCTGTTGAAAGGATAAAGGCCACATTATTAGCAATACTAACATTTTGAAAGTAAAAAGGAAAGAAGCTATCCGGACAGACTGCTGAACAAGTGTGGAAGTAAAAGACATAGTGGCACTAGCGAGGATAGCAGAGCATGCCTCTAGTCTCTTGATCAGCCTGGGCTGAGAGCAGCGTTCTCGGTTTACCTCCCAGACAGCACGACGGATTGCAGATCTGTTTACATAGGGAATATTGCAATATGTTTCCTACATGCTAACGCTCTAGTGGATATGATATGAGAAAAATCTGAGGACAGGCATTTTTTTGGAGTTAATAATGATGTTTCAAATAGCATGAGAACTTGTCTCTTTACATGTATTTTGGTGTGTGCATGCATATAGAACATATTTCTAGTACATCCTGGAAAGGGTGCAACAAGCAAAATGTTTTTCATTGGAAATTAATCTTCTTTGTTTAGGGTCTAGTCTGATCACTTCTGTTGCATGGTCAGACCAAATCTTTAGGTATGTGCATGGCCCTGTTTGTTGTAGCAGGCTTGGATCTGCGTAGATCAAATCCTTTGTCTCCAGTTTAGAAAGCTCTTCTCTAAAGAAGGAGCTTTTTAATCCTAAGGTACAAGGCACTTAAAGCAGTGTTTAAGCCTGTCTGTACTCAGGAAAGAACTTAAGCACAGCTGTAATTCTAAAGCATGTGCAAACCCCCTGTTTTGATCAAGAAACTTAAGCACATGTGTAATGTTAACACATGCGGTAGTGTTTTGTTGCTCTGTGGTTTCTAGATGCAGGCCTGAATGTAGAAGAAAATTTGAACAGAAAGAAGCCCAGACAAATTAGGGTGAGAAGCTTGAGAGAAAAATTAAGGGGGAAGGGAGTGTTAGGTGACTTGTGTGGATTTTTAATACTTGTGTTTTCATTCTGTTTGTTGACCAAGCCACGTTTTTTTCAAACTCATACAGAATTGTTTCAGACAATAGCACATAGTTGCCTAACACAACAAAAACGTATTTTCTTTCTATTTAACCTTAACAAAATGCAGAAAAGAGAAAAATAGTAGAAGTGTTTGTACTATTTTTCATTTGCAACTGGATGATGGTGATTTGATAACCCAATATTTTCCTTTCCTTACAATACCAAGGCTCTGTCTTGCAATTGGATCAACATAAGCGTAAGCACTCAGAAATCTGCCTGTGGGTATTAGTTTGAAAGTCAAATAAACTTTATTGAATTCTTTGGCATAGAATATGTGCCAGTTTAAAATGGCAAAATCCTTACCGGGCTATGGGCTCTTTAAAACTTATATAATAACAATAAAGCTCAGCAGAGTCTGATACTGCCTGCATTAGGCTTGCAAAAGCCCTATATAGATCACGAGGATGTTTGTCTGTATGGAGGTAGGCTGGAGAAGAATCATCCCTACAACCTGCTTGTGAATGAATCTGATAGATCCCATCCACTGGAGAGCTGGAACTGATACTCCAAGACTCTCAATATATTTGAAAAAACCCAAAAGATCATGGGCTTAACTGGAGTGGAAGTCACCCAACTGAAACATTATACAATGCTTTGAAATTTCAAGAAAAAGGTTCTAATCTTTTGGCTGTCTTGTTCATTGTTTGGAGATGAAAAGGGAGGAAATCAACATCCCCATGAAATACAGTTACTGTAAATTGCTTTATTTTCATACTGTTCATAATGAAAATAGGAAAGTTACCAGAAGTTACTTACTCTGCAGAAGCACTGTAATTTGGTTGATGTACTGATGACATTCAGTAGTGCAACACTGGATTTCTGTATGAACCAACTAATGGAGAATATAAACTTTTGTAAGTCGTGCTGACTCTGAATTGCTCTGAAGTGACCAGAAGTCGTCTTTACAGTGGAAGACCAGAGCTCCTTAAAGTGAACTCTAAAATCAAGCTAAACTTGTACAGGGTGTTGTTATCATGTGGTGCCTCAGGATCCAGAGTGGGAAGGAAAAGCAGGGTGTCTGCTCTCCCCTTCCCAGTCTCTCCGTTGGGATCTGGAGTCAGCTGGAGGTGTGCTCAGCCCCTTGGGCTGGCTGATGGGGCCCCAAGGCTTGTGAGGCACCTAGAGTTGAGTTGGGACACAGGCTCAGCTGGGTGACACACCGCCAAGCTTGAAACAGGGTATTCCTGGGGGCAGCTCTGCCAGATCCCAATTGCACTGGTCCTGTGTCACTCAGTTGCGTCCACAGTTTTCCAACTCTGCGGTCCACCTGGAAATGAGGATCTCCCAGGACCTAGTGGGCGGCAGAGCCATTCCCATAAGCAGGGGTGGGTGGACAAGCTTTTCCTCTGCCCTGCCTTCAGTGAGATGGAGCAGTGCCTGCAGGACAAATGCCCAAGGGCCAAGCAGGCAGCACTTCATGTCCTCTGAGCGCATCTCTGGAAAAGTGCATGGCCGTGTTTCACCTTCCTCGGGTCAGAGTAGGAGGGGAAGAGTGAACTGGAGCTTACTGCTGTCATTGTGTACCATTTGGAAAAAATCCATGCTGAATGCCAGCAGCCATCACCAGTTACAGAGCAATGCTCCAGTTTCCTTTTGTTTTCCTAAGGAGCAGGAGAGGAAGGTGTTGGGAGAGGGTGAGGTCATCTGCTTCCACTAAATAATGCTATGACAAGCCATCACTATTTCTTATTCTTTTTATCATACCAGAGTCCCTGGTCAGATGGCAGGACCTTATTACAGTGGCAGTTATCTACCCAGTGCTGCAGTGCTTTCCAGCAACATGTCCATGGTTTGATGTTTATACAGGAAACATTGAGAAATCATAAACCAGTTCTAATAGGACCAGCTTTTTAAAATTACAAGGTTATTAAAAAAATAATTTCAGACTTCTTTTAGTTTTTTCTTTAATCTTTAAGGGTTCTATTTTAAAGTTTTTCTCTTCTAGCTGAAAGCTCAGAATCTCTTGACACCAGGAACTATGTCTTTTACAAAAACATAAAATGTTGCTAGACCCATAAGAGCAAGAGGGTTGTGCCAGCACTGGATCCTCAGTGGTTCTTTACATGTGGACTTTCACACTGGCTGGTACTGTGGAAACACTTTGACTTTCTTATTCTGATTCATTTTTATTTTTTTTTTAGTTCAGCACTCCTATGCAAGAGTCTGGGACAGGGACGGTATTTTGTTTACACAGCTGGTAGTTTTGGGGTACCCCGTGACTGCCAAGTGCTACAAAATATAACACTGAATAAAAAATTACTATCACACTCCAGTCAGGAAGGGAATTGCCAGTGAAACCATCTCATTTTCATGCATGGATAGAGCTGTGAAGTAAAAGAAGAGTGTGGAAAATTTGAGACTGCTTATGGCATTTTCACATTTGCGTTTGAAATTTATGTCTTTTTGTGACTTCCTCAGTAAGAAAGAGGCATCAAAAAGAAATTATCGTCTCAAATCTACTGCTTCTTCTCTAAGAAAAAAAAAAAAAAGTGCTAGATCAGATAGGCTAGGAATTGTCAGTAGCTCAGGAATCCAGGAATGAGGTTGATGGGCAAATATAGAAGCGGTGTTAAGCAGGGATAGACATCATTAACATATTTGGAGTTACACCCGCTTATACCAAGTCTGGCTTTGGCCCTGAATCAGCAATTCCCCAATGAATAGACTGCATGAAACCAGTGCTGAATTTGGCCCATTTCAGCTGACATCTGCATCCTGCCTCAAAGTGGCATGTCACACTTACTGCACATCAGATCACACCTGCCCAGGCAGTCACAGGCAATTGACTTTTTTGTTAAAAAAAAAAAATAATAAAAAATTAGTCACATATCATCAAGAAAAACAACATTGTTTTAAGACTCTTATCTCTTCACTCCCAAATATCCTGTTTCTTCGAGCTGCAGTGGCCAGGACCAATAGAAACCTCTTCCTGCCATTGGCTGACTTCATTTCCCAGAGTTAGCACAATCTCATCCGCTCTAAACAACCTCATCAAAACTTCTTTCTGGTCAGAGCGAAGCAATAATTATTATTAGCAATTATTAGCGATCAATAATCTTGATCACATTATGGCAAGCACTATTAAGGTAAGAAAGGGGTACCTTTTTTGTTGGAATTTTTTTCAGTGGTGTGTTCTTTGGTTTCCTTTATCAACCTAGATAAGTTAGAATTGGGCAACACCCCCACTGCCACAATAGAGGACAACAAGATTTCCTTTGTACTGCCTAGTAAATTTCCTTTTTCCTACTCCAACCATCCGCAAGGCTTAAAAACTTGAAACTCGGAAAAAAAATTGGGTTTTTTAAATTCACTGTTCAGTGCTGTGGATTGCATATGCGAAGCCCTTTATGAGAGCTTCTGAAATTTCTTGTAGGTATCATTCTGACAACTTGGATGTGTTTGCGGACTGCCAGAAGGGGAGAGGGTGTGCACTGGAAGGAAAAAAGGGTTCCTAAGAGCACTAACCTTTTGGATACTTTTAAATGTTTCTCTTGTTGATGGGGACACAGATACTAGCAAGCGGGAATGAGAGGCGCCAGCTCTTGTTTCTCTCTCGTGCAGGTGTTAATTATGTGCTTTTCTAGAAACTCTTACTCTTCTACTCGGGACCTTTCTGAATGTTATTTTAATGGTGGCGGCAAGTTCTCATGGGTGTGTTCTTTTTCTGTTTTAATTTTTTGGACAATAAAATTCTCTTATTGGCTTATAAATTGATGTCGGTGCACGGTTTGATTTTTTTTTAAGAATGGCTTTGCTGAGATTTTTAGGTTGTTTCACTTAGAAAGTTGAATAAACCTATATGTCTATCTATCTAGTTTTTCTTCTCTGTATGTTGCAATAGATAACAGTTACAGATATAGCAATAGCTGTGATTAATTGCAGAAGTATAACTGTAACTAAACGCTTTGTGATAGTGAAACTAATTTTACGTAAAGAGCAAAAGAGCATGTACAGTGAGGACTCTGCGGCGTTGTATTATCAGATCTGGGATCAAGGTATTTGTTTTCTTCGTGGTATTGTGTATTTCTGTACTTTTCTAATTATGCCAGAGATTTAGTAAGAGATACGGAATAGCAATGATGCCTGACCATTAGCTAAATGAAGCTGCAGTTTGATTTCTTAGTAACTTCTGCTTAGTTGCTTACATTTTAAAGATCATTTGATGCTTTTTGTTATGTTTTTTTGAAATCTGACAGTCTTCCCTGAAGACAATGTGATTAAAAAGACTAATGAACCTTCTCTTTTTGCAATCACTGATGCTTTCAAGAGGCTAGCTAAAGAGCCAAAGGTCTATATCTTCTCTACATTGCTGGCTAGTATCTATCATATGCTAAGGAGCTCCTGAAACAGCTGCATTTCCTTTGGTTTTGCCACACGTTTCAGAGCACACAGGACATGACAGGCACTCTATGAAAATCTTCAGGTCCAGGGAGTCAAGTTTTGCATTGCTAAAAGAAGGGCTGTGTGCTGAGGTACTAGTGCTGTTTTTTGCGTCTATTAATCAGAATGCACTGTCGGTGTTGATGGGAACTTTTTTTTTCAAAAATGATGGTACAGTGAGATTAGATATATGCATTTTGAGTGCTCTTATTATTTATTTTTTGATGTTTTCTATTGGCTGATTTGTAATAGGGTAAATGATTGTACAAAATACCTCATCATTATTATTTTACCTCCACCTTATACTTACAGAGGTGAGAAGAGACTGTGTGCAGCTGTGTATTATACAGCCTGATTATGCAATGCAGTCAGCAAAGGCTCCTCTGTGGAAAATCGTACATTTTTGTCTCCTCTTCTGGGAGTGTGAAACTTGCAGGGGGAAATAGGCACCCCAAAACTTTGAGAATTGTGGTGCCTAGGTTTCTGGGAAGGCCTTAGATGCTGAAGCAAGGATTTTATTTATGCAAGTGCAAAATGTAAAATGACTGGAAAGAAATGACAGGTGCTTTGTACTCTAGATGAAGGAAATGTACTACGACATCAAGCTAAGCCAGTCCAAGGAGAATAAATTCCTCTTCTATACTGAGTACATAAAGAAGTCATTTAATCGAGAGGTTTCTGAAATAAAGAAATTCCATTTGAAGACCAAGCATAACTAGACAGTTATGTTTAGCAAATGTTTTTCACAATTTCAATATAATGGCCTGTGTCTTCTGCTGGCAATAGGTAGCCCAGGTATCCCAACGCAGGTGAGAAGAGGCTGTGGTCAAGGAAGATGGAGAACCTTATCTGGGATCTCTCTGCCAGGAATTCACTCTCTTCTTTAGGGAAGCCGTGGAGTCATTAAATGTCAAAATTGGGTTGCGAATGGCTATGTGTTTGTTCATAACGGGGTATAAGTTGTTCTAAACGTAGACACATGCAAAGGTGGCCTTCCAGTAAGACTGTTTGATTCATTCTTTTCCTGTCACAAAACTGCAGACAGACCCATGGGACACTCGGGACTCATGAGAAATCAGGCTGGCTTAACTGGGGCTAATTAGTATCTTTACCAAGGCAAGCATTTGTGTGAGTTTTCTGGCGCCGAGTCTGATCTCCTAAGTATGGCTTTACCAGGAGATTAACCTCTTCTTGTTCCCAGTCCTCCTTCTGCTGCCTCCTTCCCCTTCTCCCCCATGATGGGGAAAGCACTGCAGTGGAAGGGTTTTTTCTAAGAAGGAGGATGCAGCAGTGCCTTTTTCCCAGGCTCTGGCATGGATGGCTTACTTTAACTCTGACCTTAATGCTGTAAGAGCAGCTGCCCTCTCTCAGGCCAGGGACCTCTCCCTCTGAGCGGCAGCAGGGCCAGCTCCCATGGAGGGTGGCGTTAACAAACCACAGAGAGGAGAGTAGTGGGAGAAGGTGTGTGCCTCCACAGCCAGGCTTTTGGTTTTGGTATGCAGTCAGGGACCTGATATATCTAATGCATTCACTTCCCTGTAGCTGGTGTGCTTGCAGCTAACCTCACTGTTGTGTTTTTTAGCATTTGAAGGATAACAGGTTTTTCTCAGGTGGAGAAAGTCTCCTAACAGTGAGGATATCAGCGCTAAGGTGACTTGTTTCCTTCTGTCAGAAGTAGTATCTGACAGATAATTGCAGTAGCACAACAGTGCAGAGCACTGAAGCTGAAGACTTATAAAATCAGCACAGCATTGTTAATTATAATCATCCCACTAGTTACTGTAAATACAACTTTAGAAAATATCAAAGGCTTCTGAATTAGGCATCTGTCTCTTTTGGTGTGTCTTTTTTTAATAGAATGGAGTAAAAATTACTTAAATGTTACCTTGGGACAAGGTAAAAATAGTTATCCTGAAGGTCATTTTGATTTTTTTCCCGTTATCCTATAGTGGAGGAAAGAACATTAAATAGAAAAGTACAACTAAAATTCTACTTCCTTGCCATGTAGCAAGCTTTGTTATATTTCTTTCCCTGACTGCCAATGCAATTATACTTATTCTTAGGAAAGCTCTTCAGTAATCTTGACTTTACGATGACTTATTGATTACACTTGTGAGTATTTCTTTTACTCTACTTTTAAGTATGCGTATGTCCACTTTTTATTATTGATTTCTAATGTGCTGTTCACATGGAAGCTACAATTTTTGGGAGAAAAGGTCCATGTATTTGATAAAGGACAGGAGAATCTTTGTGATTTCTAAGGCTTGAAAGAGTATGGATATACTGATTAAAGCAGTATATATTGGCAAGATTTATTTATTTTTTTAAGGAATTATTCTGTGCTTCTCTCTAGAGTATTTTCTCTCACTTTCTTTTAGAAAATCTAAGCACTCATTCAAATACTTCTAAAGCCACGGAAAGCTGGAGACAAAAAAAAAAATCTGTTCTTGATGTATGGAAATGTTGAAGTCTTTTTTGAGAGGCCTGCATCTGCACTGAATCCAATAGAACTAATACAGTAATTTGTACTTCTGTTCCTTGCATTAAAAATATTTTAAAGATTATTCTCTTTTGTTGTTACCTCAGTTAGCAAATGACCTAATGGTATATTTAAGCCTGTAGAAACTTCCATTGGTTTTGGTGATATGACATAACCCTCTTAAAGCTAAGCGCACACCTGAGTGCTCTAGTGAATCAGAAGCAAGACCAGAAAGAGAGCCTTAAACCACTTAGCCTGATCTTGCACTCCTTAATTCAAAGTTTCCACCAATTTAATGTTTTGTTCCAATAAAGGCAGAATCAGACCTATAACTATTTCTGGGTAAAATAGCATTTCTGACTCAGATGCAAATGTACAATTTCAAGGAAAAAATAGTCATATAAGAAGAGAAGAAGATATTTGGGGGATTTTTGTGGTTTTTTCTCTTGCTTTTAATCATCATTTAACTCAATCTGGTTTGTGGCTACGTATGCCAAAACAAAGTCAAATATAAGGATTTTGCTTGCTAGAATTAAGTCCCCAGGCAAGGAACAACAGCTGGAAAATGCGTATGTTTGACTATCTGCCTCGGTTTGTTTGTTTGTTTTTTCTTAACAAGTACTGTATTATCTCTTAACAAAATGTTTTTCAGCAAGTTCCACAAGTTACAAAATGCCTTTCAGAAATAACGTTCAAAGAATCAAGTGCTGTTGGAGAATGACTTGCTAAAAGATAAATACAAAAGTAGTTTGGAGAAACGTGAATACCAAAAGAAGATACTTATTTTCCAAGTGACAGTTTATAATCCAGTGAAAATGTATAAAGCTGTTCACCTAAAAAGAAGTAAGCTTCATAATACACGTTTCTAAACCAAGTCAACAGGATTATTTTGAAAATTGGCAAAGTGGAGAAAATGAAAAGTTGGATCACTTGTATTATCAATTCTAACAAAGCAAAGGTGACGAACTAGAAAATATCACATGCAGTGCCAAACTCTGTCAAGTTAAAAAAATCTTTTCATTGACTGCAATGTGGTTTCAATAAGATTCATCATTAACTATTAAAAAATTAATTTCTTTTGATAGATAATTATATAGTAGAGAAATACTAGCAGCTTTTCACATTGTCCATAATGACAAGCCAATGGTCAGATAAAATGGCATGTGTTCTGCTAGTCATCTTGCTATCCTTAATATATATTTGTGTATTATATAAGAAATGTTGACT